TGAATTTATAAATGGAGGTTAATTATGATGTAAAGATCCTGTAATAATAATAATTAAAAAAATACGTGGCATATCATACCGGGGACCTATATACTTATTTGTATAAAGGTCCCTGATAATACATGATAGATTTAATTATGATGTGAATTGTAAACTTTGTACATTTACCCCCATCTTGAGTTAAAAAAAATATGACATATATATGCATGATTTATGGCAATATATTCACACCAAAAAGCTTCTAATTTACAAAATCTTTAACCAACGACAATTTATAACCCCAGGATGAGTTTATCCAATTTATCGTTAGCTTTCAGGTATCTACAGGTCTGGCATTCTTTCTTTTTGCTAACTTTTCAATGCTAATGAGACGAATTTCTTCTTGGACAACTTCTCAAATGTCATCTATTGGGATAATATAATTCTTTACTAGTCGTGAAAACAGCAATTATGGATTTAAAAGTAAATGTCATAAAATGAAAAAAAAAGTTTCTCGTCACAAATTTAATTTTACAGATAACAGCTGATATCCAGGTGTCTCATCATTTTCTCGAGTCGGTGACACGGATGTTTATTTCGTTTTGACGAATTAACATTAAAGAAATAAAAAAAAAAAAAAAAAATACAAGCTCATAATTTAAGCCAGCCCCTTTTGTACAAGTAATGTAAATTTCGCTTGATCATCGTGTATTCAAATTTGTTGTTGATTTCAAACAAAACTTTTACAATAGTTACTGTTAAAAATTTCCCTTCTGTTTCATAATAAATTATAATTAAAACACACTAGATCTAAGTACATTAAAAAAATAAAAGTTCAAAATAATCTTTTCTCCTTCAAATTACACAACACTTTATTAAAACGCGGTAGTACCTATACCCATTTTAATTAATTCACCAATTTCAATAATGCAAACCTCAAAGTGGGATTTTTTAAACAAATATTAATCATGTTTCATCGATTACTGTCGGCTTGATATAATTCTATCCCGACCGTTCTTTCACTAAGTGTATACATATAAAATCTTTTCGCACAGGTGTGATTTTGAACTCCCCTAGTCGACATAGATAGCGTAGTTCGTTTGCAGATGTACTGGCGCTGCGCTAGACAACCTCAGGTGCGCTCCAGCCAAGCTGGCGACAGGCGAATTATACAGCCAAACATTCACACCAGTTATAAATAGTTTAAAGTCGAAACCAAAATAAGACATGTCTGTACCGATTGAATGAAGGAGAGAAAAAAATATCCTGATATAACTGGTATTTGAAAAAAAAACTTGGCTTAGACAATTTTTTTTCTCCACCAATTTCTAAATTTTTTTTTAAAAATTCAAATTCTAAAGTTGATATTATTTTATATATACAATCAATATGATAAAATAACAATATATGCAGAGAGAGAGAGAGAGAGAGAGAGAGAGAGAGAGAGAGAGAGAGAGAGAGAGAGAGAGAGAATTATAGATTCTAATTCATTAACTTGAAAAAAAAATCTATCATATAAGAACAATCCAGTTATAAATTTCGAGTTCTGTTCAAAATAACAGGGGTATACGTTTTTTAGGAAGCTGAAGTTGATATTCACCAATCAATGTCCACTCAAAGGAAGGTTAAGACAACTAAAAGCCTTGTAAATACTAATAAAAAGATAGATATTTTATTTTAATCATAAATTTCCAAGTTCAAGTTTATTTATCTGTTATGTATTTAAACTTAATATTCTAATTGCACTGTGTTAATGATAATAATAATTTTTATTTTAAGAGAATACGTTATTGTTTATTTTCGTTATTAAAGAAAACAGTAATTAAAAACGGCGCCTCACATTCTCATGAAAATTCATTTATTTTAGTTTATGTGCAATAAAACAAACATGTTTTCTGTTAAACATTCATTCGTCATTAAAAAAAAAAAATGAATAATTATCAAAATTTATTCTAAATAACAAAATCAGATGTATGCGTAAAAATTACATTTAAGAAGAAAAGAGAGAAGGTTAAAAAGAAAAAAAAATACCGAAAAAAAAATCTAGCAGGTGATAAAAAACATTACGCTTATTAATCAGTTATTTAAATGTTGTTCATTTGAATCTTTGTGTGTATAGTATACATTGAGGCGATAACCCGGTGTTTACACATATTTCTCTATGTAAAAGCCCGACGCCAGGCTGTCTAGCGGGCACCTGTGCCTGTAAAGCAATGTATATAACCACGTGCTAGGACAGACAGGAATTCCTGAGCTCGCTAGACGCTTCAAGGCCTAAGATCATCTATCGTATGGATCCTCTATATATATAACCCCGAGTGTAATACTACGTCTTGAGACTAAAACTTTATTTATTTTAATCATTTATGGATAATTGCACCTTTTTAAAAAAAAAATTATTTTTAAATAAAAAATCTGAAATTGTTACGCTCTTTTCTTAATAAAATGGGTTCGAGGGGAAAAATACCAAAACGCACGGTAATCAAAATATCAAAGTAGATAAAAAATCTTCACAAAACAGCAAAATTTTCCTTTCTTCTTATTTTTTTCTTTTATCAAAACCTGTTATTTCAAAGTAAAAAATATTATGAAACAATAATCATAAATTATTGAAAAGACTATTAAACCATGATTAAACCATAAACATATTAATGTAAGTAAATTAATATATCATTCTTTATTCCATCAGTTAAATAAAGTTCGAATGATTTACAATCCTAAGTCTAATTAATTTTAACAATGAGAAAATTGATAAGCTCATAAATGGAACGTCATCCTTTCCCTCTCTCTCCCCTCTCTGGAGGGGGTGGGGGTTTGTAAAACATGTTCGCTCTCTCTCTCTCTGCTGAAAAATATCGACTTTTCATATGTGTGCATTTATATTTATTCAAACTTGATAGTTTTTTTTTTTTATTTTAGAATCCTTTATTTTTTTTCATTTGGAGGAGTAAATACCTTCAGGAGATGATAGATATAAAATTATATTTCTCAAGCAAGATAGTGTGTTCTTGAAGTAGAAAATAATATTCATTTGTACCTAATGTACAATAGAAATAATATAGGGGAAAATAAATTAAGGTTTCTTTCTTTTTTGATCCACTTTTATACCTTCGGGAGATGATAAAAATAAAATTATATATTTTCAAGCAAATTAGTGTGTTCTTATAGTAGAAATTATAATTCATTTGTATAGAATTTACAATAAGAGACAATATCATTGGGGGGGGGGGGGGGGGTCAATGATTTCTTCTTTTTTCAATTCCACTCATTTCTCTATAACCTCATCCAATTTAAGGTGGACAGTAACTACGGATATAATAGCATTTCATACGAATCAAATATTTATGGTAAACTAATTGTTTGGTATGTACATGCATGCTTCGCATTAGTATTTAAAATGTCGAATTAATTAGCATTAAGTGTTGGTCAACTTTTCAAAAGGAAAACCATTTGTCGCTGACATTACTTAAAACCACTTTATTTCTTTTGGAATGAAATTAAACTTTTCTTCATGATATAAACTAAATCCACGTTGCGTTGAAAAGAATATATTTTAATAAATGATAAAAATGACATGAAACATATTTTAAAGTCATATAAAAGAATGTATATCATATAAAAACATATTTTCTTTTACACGAAAATTAACAAATCGATCACGAGAAATAGTCATTTTCTACCTCTTTTAGAATGCCAAGGGCTTGAGAAAATAGTTTTAAATGTGTATTTAGGTTTGACAACATATTTCTAATACATTTGCATTATCGCGATAATGAATGTTTGCAAATGCAAAACAGCACAATTCATTCTAAATGCTCAAATCTTAAATTAAGAACAACCATTCTTTTCATAATGAAATACACATCTGTTGAAGAAAAGAGGGGCGAAAAAAAAACCTCTTGGTACTTGGCATGCTATTTTGATATTTTTTTCTTTAAATTGCAAATGCCACAGCAATGAGTGTTGGATTAGAGAAAAAGGAAATGAAAATATTCATTTACAAGAGAAAGAGCCCGGATATATGTACAGGACACTTTGGAGTGTTTTCGCTGACTTAAGTACGATCTCCGGCGCCAGAGTGTCGGCTCTAGCGACAAGACTCTTACCTTCAGGTGAGAAACCCACGAGAAGCATTAATACGAACAATAGATAAAGCGATTGTGTGGAGACACCTGCGTTTAGGGGATTCAAAGGTACACCTAGTGGCCGGCAATACCCAAAGCTCGATTAGCCGGTTAATGTTTAAAAAACTGACGAATATCCCTACTTATGTTTAATCATAACTTTTAAATCTGGACACTTGTGTATTTGAAGAGCGAATATGTTTTCCTTAATGCTTTAATAGGTAAAATGTTTTGATATAAGAATCATTCATTAAGTCCGTATTTTATTTATCGTACGATGGCTGAACTTTCGGAGCAATTTTTTTTCTTTCCCTTTTTTGGGGGTAAAGGTGAAGGTGGAGGGGTGGGTAGGGGTAAGAGTTAATTAATTTTCAGTTGTAGACAAAATAGAGGCTTTTCTTAAAGTCTACGAAATAGAATTTGTTCATTTTGTACATTTATACAATTAATGAATTTTTACTCATACACAAATAAAAGTTCTATATTTCGTAAACATCATTTTTATATTTAAAAAATACGAGAGAGAGAGAGAGAGAGAGAGAGAGAGAGAGAGAGAGAGAGAGTAACCAAACCGAAAAGGAAAGAGGGATAACTCTAAATGAAAAAAAAAGAGCTGACGAGATGAATGAGCAAAGAAAGATAACTCCAATTATATATACTCCATAGTCCATTCATGTTTGGGATTGGAGTGAGGGCTTTAATGAAATTAGTTTTTAAAGATAATTAAATTGAATATTTTCGACCTTTTTTTGGAAAATAAAAAAAAAAAAGATTAATGTATAACTATTTTGATCAATTCCATTTTAGATCCTTTTCATCAAATTGTTTTAAAACTTCTTAACAGCAAACAATGATTTCAATCATGGCGAAATTCCCTCCCTTGTCTTGTTTGTTTACCTGTGCTACAGGTAAATTATGTTTACCAATCGATTTTTCTAGATTTCGCGGTAGAAAATAAAAATGGCGTGCACAGCCGAGGAGGAGGCCCATCTTAAACAGACGGCGGAGCAGGGTTTCAGAAGTTCTACGTCCCCAATCCAAAAGCTTCGGTATGCCTGCCTGATGCGTGGGGCGAACGGAATCAAAGGTTTAGGCAGGTACATGTACTCGCATGCTTTATTTTTATTTCTGTCTTCTGCGAGCATGAGCATGATGAGATAACTTGACAATAATGTAAAAATCAAATGCGCATTATAGACATTTGACGAGCAACTTGAACAGTCTCTTCACTGTCCAGAATATTGAAAAAATAGACAAAATAGACGAGAGAGAGAGAGAGAGGGAGAGAGAGAGAGAGAGAACGAAGGCATAGGTCATGACATCTCTCCGACATAGATCTAAATGTATAAATTTTTGAGCAGCACATAACTGATATTAAATTCCCCAGTAAGACTCGATATAATTCACTGTACAGGCTCATATTTATAAAATATTCCCCAATAAGTCCAACGAACCTCAATATTCCATAGAAATACACAACTGTAGCAATTACCAACATTTGAAACGACTTATTTATGTGTGTATTCATATACATCTACAGAAAATTATGAAATATGCATTTTATAAAAAATGTAGCTACAAAACTCTAGCTCTCCGAAGAGAGAGAGAGAGAGAGAGAGAGATTGTTATAAATATATTCATTGCATACAAAAGTTCTGGTTATTGATACTCGGTTCTGGTTTTATTTTATTATTTGTCCTAGCCTTTTCTTGTATATCCACGATCTGTTCTATGTTGTTTTACAGAAGTTTCCGAATAATGGATGACGACGGAAGTAAGACGTTGGATTTCCGTGAATTTCGAGACGGTCTTCGTGACTACGGACTTCGAGAACTGGACGACCAAACAATAGCAGACGTTTTTAAGGAACTGGACAAAGACGGAAGTGGGAAACTGAGCTATGACGAGTTCTTAGTGGCTATCAGGGTAACTATTTGCAATTTATTTCTGATGCCATACTCGTTTTTCGATATGTATAGCTATATGACCTTCTCTCTTTAGCTAGAACTTCAGCAAATGTAAACAAGTAAGATGGCATGAACTGCTTAATAATGACTTTGTACCATTTAATCATTTGATAATGTGATGAAAAAAAAAATTGCAGTTTTTCAGTCAATACGAAAATATATCCATATTCGAAGTACAATACCCTGGTATACTCACCTCGTCTTTCGGGCTCGGTGAATATCATACTCTTCAGGTGGTTAAATTATCGTATTGATCTCAAAAACAGCAATAAATATGTAATATACCCTTTTCTCAAAGTTTCAAGATTAAAGTAAGACAAGAAATATTTAGAATATATCTATACTTATTTAGGGACCAATGAACAAAACTCGTGAGGAATATGTAAAACAGGCATTCAAAAAGATGGATGCTACCGGTGACGGTCAGATAACAATCGAAGACATCCGAAGGTTATATGACGCCAGTCAACATCCAAAGTTCATGAGTGGCGAATGGACAGAGGATCAGTGTTTCCGACATTTCCTGAATTCCTTTGACAGCCCCGGAAATCCAGACGGAGTGGTAAGCCCCCCCCCCCCCCCCAATAAAAGAGAAACAAATAAACAAGGAAAAAAGAGGAAAAATTATCAAAGCATATCCATTAAAATGGTTTGATGGAGGTTTCTGTTAAATCTTTTTCTCACTAATTAATATTTCCAGGTGACCTGGGACGAATTCCTAAACTACTACGCCGGCGTCAGCGCCTCTATTGATGAAGACGGGTACTTCGCCACAATGATGAAGCGCGCCTGGCGACTGTAATAGTTAACATTTCCTGACACTAGTAGCACGTGGTTCCGTCCGTATACAGACTGGTGGACAGCTTCAGGAGTAGACAGATATACATGTTTATAATTTATGTATGTGATATATACAGACTATGCAGATCTGAGGACGCCGTCCTAATTATAATCAAAACTTGTTGATCTTTACCTGTTTTTAATATGAAGTTTATATTAATGTTATATTCAAATAAATATACATGGTTAACCTTTTGAAAGCCCGAATGTCACATTTGTGGATGAAATATTCGTACCATGGAGACTGGAACCAGAATTTCTTTTTTAATTCAGTGTATATTGTTAAAATGCGTGGCATTTTAAAAGAATGCAGTGGTTAAATGGTGTTCTTTGAATATAGTAGCTGCGGAACTGTAGCTCTCCGAAAAATCTGTCAATATATTTTTTTTCGGAGAGCTACAGTTCTGCAACTACTATGTTCCTAACAAACTACAGTGGATTAAACTAGCACCTTATTTGGATTAAAATTGGAAACAAGAAGAAAAGATGTTTTCGGATTCCTTTGCATGGATATTTAAAAGTTGGCACTGAAATTAGCAAGAACTCATCATGGAAAAGCACTCTCTCTACAGTGACTATATCCAAGTTTGAAATTTCAGTTATAGTCGACATTGTGGCAAAACTATCGATCTCTTTTGCCTTTGTCAACCTTTTTTTCTTAACTGAAGCCTTACCTGGGCTGGATGCAGAACTGTAGCTCTCTGAAAAAAAATATATTGACGGATCTCCGGTCTATCAATATATTTTTTTTGGAGAGCTATAACATAGGCGTCGGAACCGGGGGGGGAGGGGGGGGCTTAGCCCCCCCCCATTTTTTATCCAAATATATACTTAGTATAGACATTGAACATATCTTCGTAGGTTTAGGCCCCCCCCCCACTTTCTACAGGTACGTCTTAGTATGGGTTAAATAAAAATGGGGAAAGTGGTGGTGCTTGGAAAAAAGATTTTGGTACCGAAGTTCGAACCCCTGCCCCCCCCCCCCCCCCCCCCCACGAAATAGGATTTTCGTGTTTGGGAAATGACTTTTTCTTTTTTTTTTGCTTGTCAGGTTTTTTTTGAAAGTACAAAAATTTTTTTTTTACACTTAGCCCCCCTACTTTCAATTTGCTTCCGACGCCAATGTATACAGTTCTGCAGCTAAGCCTTACCATAAGTATTTGAGCATGGTTGAATAAATAAAAGTGTACAATACTCCACACAGTTTGTTTTTCAAAGTTTTACCTTTCTTATAAAACACGGAGATAATGAGCAATATTCAAGCACAAAAGTTAAAAGGAACAATACAGATCAACATTGTTCAGAGCAAACATTTACCTCTATAACATCAGGGGTGGCCGTGGGATCAGGTGCCATGAAGAAGTAAGCATTCCCTGTCGACCATAGTGCTTCTTGTCATGATCGGGCAAAGAAAAATCCGTAGACAATTTCACGTGTAAATAATGACAACAATCGGTATGGAAAACGTCAACAAGCAAATGACTTCACGATCGATTGTGTTTCTGACAAGGTCATTATTATCGATCACAGAACTTGCAAAGTGGCGACTTTTAAACGAAGCAGTTGATATTCTTGTTTCATTAACTTGTTTGTCAATATCTTGCCTAGTATAAAAAATGGTCATACGTAGATTAGTAGAGCAGACTCTTGAGCATCGACTCAACTGATAGACGTAACGGGAAATATTGGCAATAGAATAGTTGTGGATATAGTCACGTTTATCATAAAATTTTCTTGTTAGTTTACCATTCACGTCTTTCTCTAGTAAAATATAAAACAGATGTGTCAAATTTCATGATATCTTTTATTTCAAGTTCACTGTAATATATGAGTCGACATACGATTTGAAGTAACTGTTCTTCATTGATAATGTCGTCAATATACATAAATAATATTGCTGAAGGCCACAGCAAATGTTTTGTTCTTCTCATATTTCTGTTTTTGAATAAAATCTGCTTCATATGAATACAAATATAGACCTGCTAATAACGGAGCACAATTGGTACCCTTGGTAATTCCGATTACAGATTGTTGAGTTGTGGGACCTGATCTCTAAAAACTTCATAGATATTGTATCAATCAGACATTCAAGTACTTTTAAATATCAACTTCAGAGTACTCATGTGTACAATAAGCATTTTTAAATTAAAAAAAAAAACAACAACAAAAACTCCACATTAATTCTGCAAATGTCCTATGACAAGCAATGTAAATTTACGAGTTCCATTTTAATGAAAAAGTAGCTGTCAAAAAGAGAGGACTGTTACTTTATCGTGGAGAATGGTTGTATATAAAAGTGTTGAAAAGTAGTGTTTTTGTGTTCCTAATTTTGGAAAAATCTTTATTATTTTATTCTTATTTATAAAGAATCCTTATGACAAGATGAACCAACCCCTACTTACTGTTATAACTAGGACTTCCATTTTTTGTATTGTCCTTGTAGGACAAGGTAGGCTACCCCCCTTTTTTTAGCACAAGCTTTTCTGATTTGTCCGTTGTCTGTCGTTGTCAACTTTTTACATTTTCATCTTCTCCTCAAGAACCACTGGGCCAATTTCAACCAAACTTGCCATAAAATATCCTTAGGTGAAGAGATTCAAGTCTGTACAAATAAAGGGCCACGCCTTCTTCCAAGGGGATTACATGTATTATGAATTACTGAAAAAATAATGGCATCTTGTAAAAATCTTCTCAAGAACTACTGGGCCATGAAAGGTGAAAATCATGTGGAAGCATCCACAGGTAGTGTAGATTCAAGTTTGTTCAAATCATGACACCCGGGGGCCGGGGATAGGACGGGGCCACAATGGCTAATTAAAAGTTTTTCATTGGAATATATAAAAAAAATCTTTAAAAATCTTCTTCTCCTGAACCATTGGGACAGGAAAGATGAAACTCATGTGGAAGCATCCTAAGGTAGTGTAGATTCAAGTTTGTTCAATTCATGACCCCCGGGGGTAGGACAGGGCCACAATGGCTTATCAAAGTTTTACAAAGGAATATATTGGAAAAATCTTTTTAAAAATCTTCTCCAGAACCATTGGAACAGGAAAGATGCAACTCATGTAGAAGCATCCTAAGGTAGTGTAGATTCAAGTTTGTTCAAATCATGACCCCCGGGGGTAGGGTGGGGCCACAATGGCTAATCAAAGTTTTATATAGGAATATACAGGAAAAATCTTTTGAAATCTTATCAAGATCAGCAAAGCCATGATTGATGATACATTTGTAAATGAAAACACCCTTAGTTAGACTTAAATTCATATTTGTTCATATCATGACCTCTGAGGGTAGTTTAGGGCCATAATGGGCAATCAAAGCTGTACATAGAAATCTAGTGGAAAAATCTTTAAAAATCTTCTTAAGATAAGCAAAGTCATTGCATGATTGGTGATATTTATAAGGAAGCATCCTCAGGTAGTGTAGTTTTTAGCGTGTTCGAATGAGAATTCTTGGGGTTAGGGTGGGGACACAATGTAGGATCAATT